GATCTTGTAAGAGCTTTAGTATATAAATAACACTTATGTTTGATCCTTAGAGTGGACTTGAAGGCCAAAAAAGTGAACTTAAGAAGTTAGCACTCACCAAAATCATTAAAGATACACCTACAGTTCGAGATTGGGTCTGGGTTCCAAAATCAATTGCGGAATGGGAAGCTATTGGATTGTAACAGTGAGTTTATTTGCTAAATTGCAGAGCTTCAGAAATAATGGCTATATATATAATGAACACATTTATTTGATGGGATAGTAATAGGAAACAACTTTTACCGCTTCGTCTATTTCAAGGTTAAGCGTAGAGGATATTACTATGAAATCGAATCAATGATCACAGCTACCGAAATTTTTCCGATTTTGTGATCGCCTGGTCACACTTACACTTGCCAAAGTTTTAATTTTAACATTATCTAGACATATACAGTCATCTCTCGTTTATAACCCCCCCCTATTGTAACCCCCCCTCGGATATCCCAGCTTTGGGGCTGGACCGATTTCCTCTATTACGTCTCAGTATAAATTTCCCTCACTTGTATCCCAATTGATATATTAATATCCCTATCCCCAAATTTTCACAGAGCCCAATTTCCCGTATCATATAGAAATATATAATGATCACACTTCGGTTATATCCCCTCGGTAAATTTACCTTATTATACAGTATATGTAAATTGTGTTACATACATATCATGCTATTTCTATATATAGTCAGTCTACCTCTTTTTGATTAGTAGATTAACGCTATGCATTATATGTTTATATGACCTGATGGAAAAGTAGCGTGTTATATGACCTGATGGAAAAGTGACATGTTTATATGACAATGGTTTAATTATAATAAGCGCCTACAGAAGAGGAAATTTTGAAGAATTTCTGGTGGCTGAAGGTGTGTCGCAGCAGACACAAGTACAAATAGAAGAAGACTCAAACGAAGAGGAGGAAGAGGCAATTTCTATACAAGTAGGAAGACAAGCACTTGAGACAGCCAAAAAAATTTTAGAACAAAGGGGAGACATATGCGTGATATAATTCGTCGTTTAGAATGGTGTATCCTTTATTTGGCACAACTAATTCGTCGTTTAGATGAGTCGTTAGAAAAGTTAAAGCGCCAAACGTTATTAACAGAGTATATTAACCAATAAAATTTTTTGTACTACTAAATGTAAACTAAAAATGCCTATACTCAGTTATATCCCACTTCAGATATATCCCCCAAAAAGTCCCAAAGTGGGGATATAACGAGGGATGACTGTGTTCTTATCAGACACGGGACATGTCTTTTTTTTTTTTTTTTATAATTTAGAACTTTATTGCCTAACTACAGATAAACTGCTAAAGCTAGTTTTAACATATAT